ACCATGACCTTCAATTTAAAACGTCAAAAAACCTTCCTGCCATTTCAATTGAGTAATTTCCTTGAAAATGTTCCTGCAGGGCACCTAAGTGTGACGCTGACTTAATAATGTCATTGATCTGTCTTGAGCAAGATGGTCTCAAAACATGTATGAGTTCAATGCTGGACAGTTTGGCATCTGTCAGTTATGCACAAGTAGATTATGGCACCATCTCAATACAGACATCTTGTTTGTGACAAGCAATTCTATGTGCAAATGTTGAGAAAGTATCCATAGCTTGCAACTTCTTCCATATGCTGAGTGTCTTGTCTGAGTGAGGATGGGTGATATGGGGTCGCATTCAAGACCATTGCTCTTTTACATTTGGTTTGCTTTGTTTGTTTGTTGTTTAACACTGCACTTAGCAATATTCCAGCTATATGACAGCAGTTTGTAAATAATCAAGTCTGGACCAGAGAGTCCAGTGATTGACATCATGAGTATCGATCCACGCGCTTGGGGTCAATGACATGCATCAACCAAGTCAGCGAGCCTGACCACCCGATCCCCTAAGTCGCCCCTTACGTCAAGCATAGTCGCCTTTTACGGCAAGCATGGGTTGCTGAAGACCCATTCTACCCCGCATCTTCACGGGTTGCAGCAATGTGCTTGCATGTGTTCGTGTGACTGCTTGTTGTAGTGACAGCTTTTTATGTGAAGGATAAAGCACTTCTCCTCGGTTATGGACGAGGAAGTAAGACTGAGGCAAGAGGGAATCAGCAATGTATGTACCCAATATCCTCTTGCCTTATAAACCATCTAAATACAAGAAATATTAGAAAACATATGAAAACATCGAGATACTGTAAAGCAAGAAATTAATGCGAGCAGAATATTTATGCGAAAAATGCGAGTGACGGAAGGTTGTATTAATTTTATGCGCATTAATTTCGTACCATCAAAATAACGAAACAATCAACAAACGAAATAAATCACTTCAGTATTATTTACTAGTATTACATCAAAAACAATGATATCAGATCATTACAAGTTGATAGCATCCACTGACAACAATCAGTCACAGATTACACAGGTAATAGAAAAATAAATTACTAGACAAAATAACAAAGTCACCTACACAAAGTGAAGTTGAGTAGTGGTCAGTTCACATCCTGTCAAGCAGCCCAGATTGGTGCCAGCCACGAATTATCCCATCAATGTCCTTTACAAGCTTGTCAAGCATAATCCCCTTATTTGATACACTGATCTGTTTTCTACTTCTTTACATCAAAGGGCCGAACGTATATACTAGTACCAGCAGACTGTCAACTAAAACAACACTAACACAATGATAGCTGCAAGGAAACCATTCTCACGCTTGGCCATCAAACATACGTGCAATTAGCTTAAATAATATTAAAATAAGGAAGGAATCTCACACTGAAAAACATGGACAGGGGATTTAATGTGCACAGTTATTTTATTTATCTCTGTCTACTCACAGTTCCTGTTCAAAACATCATTTGAAACAAACTAGGTGTTTTCAGGTAAGGCTTTTATTTACGTAGGTTACATTAATTAAAATAACACAGAACATAAATCCAGCTCATAAATTTTTAGGAAAGGGTATGGGCACTCGCATTTTTAAAATGGGCATTTATGTCTAAAATCAAGAGCTCGCATTATTTTCATGTCGCATTAAATTCCTGTTTCACAGTATCTTAAAGTGAAACAATATAGTTTGACGCAGTAGAAAAGGATATGATCAAAGCGTACGAGAGAAGAAACGTGCAGCATAGTCAAAACTAAGTCATGACATCTAAAATTGAATGTTCTTTTACCACCTGCCTTGGTGGCGTAGCTGGAAACAGTGGGTTACAAAACTTAACACGATGTGTAAGGTTGCAGGGTCGATTTCCGTCATCCATAATGAAAAAGTTGGATATCTTGTCTACGATTTTAGAACTTTGGATGTTTGAAACACTATTAAGTCCAAATTCCATCTGCTATTCAAATCATCAGGTCTTACAAGCAGAAAGTAAAACCTGGTTGTTAGGAGATAGAAAGAGACCTACAACACAATAGGCAAAAGTTGCATTTGGGTTATGTAGCTAGCCTACTAAGAAACCATGCCACAGTTAACATGGATACCGCTGTATACTGACTCTGAGCTGACCCGTTCTTGTTATATGGGGGCAGTCGGATAGCCTAGTGGTTAAAGCGTTCGCTCGTCACACCAAAGACCCGGGTTCGATTCCCGACATGGGTACAATGTGTGAAGCCCATTTCTGGTGTCCCCCGCCGTGATATTGCTGGAATAAGAATAAAACCATACTCACTCACTCACTCACTCACTCTTGTTATATGAGCGCCAGGCAAGGTAACAACAAATTTTAACATCTTTTGGTATTACACGGACAGACCATGGAGGCAGTCCCTTGTCTCAGTACTAATACAATTATCAAGCATGTACTAATAATGTATATTATTAACATATGATGAAAGTGAGTTTATTACAAATTGAATGTTACACTACTCAAAGTTTGCTTTAAAGGATCATCCCAGGTAACATGTCAAATTGTGTGCATCTGTTGAAATAGCCAAAGTATTTCATGTAGACAGGGCGGTCGGGTAGCCCAGTGGTTAAAGCGTTTGCTCGTCACGCCGAAGACCCGGGTTCGATTCCCAACATGGGTACAATATGTGAAGCCCATTTCTGGTGTCCCCCGCCGTGATATTGCTGGAATATTGCTAAAAGTGGCGTAAAACCATACTCACTCACTCACTCATGAAGACATGTTTAATGAACAACAGTCAATTGTCATCTGCCACACAATGCCTAAAAAACAACCTTTGATTACAAATCAGCCTAATAACCCATCAAAATAAGAGTATCTGATCAAAACTGAAGCATAAAAACATCATGAAAACAAATTCATTCAACTCCCAGTAGTGTGTATGTGATCCAAGTGATGTGATCACAGCATGGCACTGTCATCTCATTCTTCCAACAAGTGTCTGGGTGGTTGCCAAGGGAAGATTGTTCCACATACATGCCGTACAACCAATGTAAACAAAGGATAACTACACAAAAAATTTCAGGTATTAGGATACTTTCTTTGACATTTGTTTTTGAGGTGAGGTGAGGTGAAATGGGGTTTAACGTCGCATCCAAGATTATTGCACTCATATAGCAACATGCATGTACGTGTGTGTGTGTGTGTGGCTGCTTGAACTAGTCCGGACTGATGCTGATTTATAGTGCTAGCTCACTGAGATACCATGCCGCAGTTTAACATGGATACCCCACTCAGACACAGTATACTGACTCCGAGCTGACCAGTCCTTGTTTTAGCACCTTAATGCCGAGCGCCAGACAGGGTAACAAAAAGTACCATCTTTTAACGTCTTTTGGCATGACACGGCCGGGGATCGACCCCGGACCTTCCGCTCTCTGGGCGGACGCTCTACCACTAGACCACGGAGGCGGTCCCACAATTCAGTGAGCGCATTGAGTTCCTGTATAGTTGCTGGAAGTACAGGGCGTCGTGAGAGGGGGATGTGCAGCTCGTTCCAACTGAGTTTGATAGGGTTGATGTTTGGTGACCGGGCTTGCCACTCGATGCGGTCAATGGTCTAAGTAGGCATCAATGAACCTGGCACGATGAAGTCATGAGTTATCATCCACAGATGAAGTCCAATCTGATTGCACCAGCATGCGGTCTCACGTCCACATTCAGAATGTCATACCTGTAGCGCATCAACTGTCATCGTGTCCTGCTGTAGGACATGGAGATCGGTTCTTCCAGTTCTACTGATCCAACCCCAAATCATTATTGAGCCCTCTCGTTATTGGTCATGTTCAGCTATGTTGGAATCATGAAATCTTTGTCCTTGTCTATGCTACACTCTGGCACGACAATCTGTGAAGTCTAGACAGTATTTCAATTCATCAGTGAAATTTAAAGCCCAGTCCTGCTCTGTCCAATCGACATGATCTTCAGCCCAATCCAACCATTCCTGCCTATGATGTCAAGTCTGTGGGATGTGAATGCATACCCTTCATGAGACCAGCCTAACAGAGATGATTACGCTGTCTGAGTAGAAACATTAACACCACTGGCTTTCTGCAGGTCATTTCTGAGTGTGGTGGCAGTCACAAAGTGATGACATCTTGCTGCATTCAGGAGAACCCTGTCTTCCCGCTGTGTGGTGGAACACTGTCGACCACCTGCATGTCGCTGGGTAGCTGATCCAAACATCTGGTATTGATTTCATGCCCTGCTGATCACACTTTGCAATGTGATGTTGTGTTGACCCAGTTTCAAGGATGCCTATGCATGTGCAAATTCTTTGGCCCTCAAACGTCTATGAGTGAGTGAGTAAGTGAGTGAGTATGGTTTTACGCCGCTTTTAGCAATATTCCAGCAATATCACGGCGGGGGACACCAGGAATGGGCTTCACACATTGTACCCATGTCAGGAATCGAACCTGGGTCTTCGGCTTGATGATCGAACGCTTTGACCACTAGGCTACCCAACCGCCCCAAACGTCTATGAAGCCAAGGAAGTATAAGTGCATTCATTTGTTGCAATCCTCAGTTGCTTAGTTCTTGTGTTCCCTAATAATGATGTGCAGCGACTCTGTCCCGATACATACACAGGTCTTCAGGCACCTCTTGTACCGGATGCCCTTGATTCCATGCCCCTGTCCGTTCATCAAATTGAGGTCCTATAGGGGTTACCCTATCATTGTGTACTGGGATATGATCTTTATGTGTTGGATGATTTTTTGAAATGTTGATCCTTAGCAAACTTTGAGTAGTATTTTAACATTACATGACAAAAGGTTATTATAAACTTTCATGAAATGTCATTCTTCTTTTACAGAGACATTTATTGTTTCATTTTATTGGCAGCAGTCCAACATGTCCATCAGTTGACCTTGGTTCCATGGAAAGTTTTATATTGACATCAATGTACAATCAATACATGTTGCCTCATCAAAGGATTCCTCATAAATGATTGTGGCCTCATCAAGGGATTGCTCATCCATGATTGTGGACTCACCAAAGGATGCCTCACTGATGATTGTGGACTCACCAAAGGATGCCTCACCAATGATTGTGGCCTCACCAATGGATGCCTCACCAATGATTGTGGCCTCACCAAAGGATGCCTCACCAATGATTGTGGCCTCACCAATGGATGCCTCACCAATAATTGTGGCCTCACCAATGATTGTGGCCTCACCAAAGGATGCCTCATCAATGATTCTGGCCTCACCAAAGGATGCCTCACTAATGATTGTGGCCTCACCAAAGGATGCCTCACCAATGATTGTGGCCTCACCAAAGGATGCCTCACTAATGATTGTTGCCTCACCAAAGGATGCCTCACCAATGATTGTGGCCTCACCAATGATTGTGGCCTCACCAAAGGATGCCTCATCAATGATTCTGGCCTCACCAAAGGATGCCTCACTAATGATTGTGGCCTTACCAAAGGATGCCTCATCAATGATTGTGGCCTCACCAAAGGATGCCTCATCAATGATTCTGGCCTCACCAAAGGATGCCTCATCAATGATTCTGGCCTCACCAAAGGATGCCTCATCAATGATTGTGGCCTCACCAAATGATGCCTCACCAATGATTCTGGCCTCACCAAGGGATGCCTCATCAATGATTGTGGCCTTACCAAAGGATGCCTCATCAATGATTGTGGCCTTACCAAGGGATGCCTCATCAATGATTGTGGCCTTACCAAAGGATGCCTCATCAATGATTGTGGCCTTACCAAAGGATGCCTCATCAATGATTGTGGCCTCACCAAAGGATGCCTCACTAATGATTGTTGCCTCACCAAAGGATGCCTCACCAATGATTGTGGCCTCACCAAAGGATGCCTCATCAATGATTCTGGCCTCACCAAAGGATGCCTCACTAATGATTGTGGCCTTACCAAAGGATGCCTCACTAATGATTGTTGCCTCACCAAATGATGCCTCACCAATGATTCTGGCCTCACCAATGATTCTGGCCTCATCAATGATTCTGGCCTCACCAAAGGATGCCTCACTAATGATTGTGGCCTCACCAAAGGATGCCTCATCAATGATTCTGGCCTCACCAAAGGATGCCTCATCAATGATTGTGGCCTCACCAAAGGATGCCTCACTAATGATTGTGGCCTCACCAAAGGATGCCTCATCAATGATTCTGGCCTCACCAAAGGATGCCTCATCAATGATTCTGGCCTCACCAAATGATGCCTCACCAATGATTCTGGCCTCACCAGTGATTCTGGCCTCACCAAAGGATGCCTCACCAATGATTGTGGCCTCACCAAAGGATGCCTCACCAATGATTGTGGCCTCACAGATTAACTATAGCTAAGAATGAGATGCTTAAAAAATCTTTTTGAGTAGTATATATCAATATACACATTCTGTTTCCTCAAACAATAAACATTTCAATTCTCACAAAAAGTAATTTTCAACACTATAGCAACCACCTAAAAAAATCAACACACACCACTTTAAATATCTTCTCATGCTTTTGATTCCTAAAAAAAACTAAAACAACTACCATATCTTCTTTACAGCTTGGCTGATACTTTAACAGAACGTACAGTGATAAACACACATCTTCAATCACATGAACAACCCAGGGCGCCACGGCAACAGCTTAATGCCAAAATGAACCAAGCAAGTCTTCCAAAAACTGAAATATACACTAATAACAATGTCAGTGTTTCTACTCAGCACAACAAGCTGACAGCCACCCCGATTACTCTGTAGTCTACGTTACTCTTTAACATAGTCCCCAGTTTATATCATCTGTTAGAACCGTCTGCCACGCAAGCCCGCTATTTCAGTGCAGTACGTATGTCCCTATGTCCATTATTCACACAGGACATCACAGAGCTGATTATTGGTCCATTTGTTTCAATCATCTGTGTTTCTGTTGGCAGTGATTGCATCCATAGATCACACTCGGGGCAGGGGGGCAGGGCATTGCTGAATTAACTAACAGTGCCCGTCATGTTAAATGTCCATCTGCAGAACTAACATTGACGTGGGCAACGGAACGAAAGCAGCATGCTGTCTACTGGTTAGGTATCTATATCTACCGGCTATAGCTTTCTTTAGAACTGAAAATGGCTTTCATGACATATTAAATAATCTTTGATGACAATTTATTTCTTTTTCGCTTTGACTTATATATTTTTGCTTCTCAAAGTGGCATTAGATGTAATAAAGAACTTGGATATCCATTGAATGATCTTACTTGTTTATTTTTTTCTGTTTAAAGAAAAGTGTTTTACCTCATGGCAAATATTGTGACAGATGTGATACGTGTTTCTTCTTGATATTTTAGTATTTTTAGTTTGGGATTGACAGACGATAAAAAATATTTTTTCCATCACTTTGTTTTGATTGATTAGGTCAGGCATTTTTCATTTTTGTTTTAAAGGGGAGTTGGGAAACTTTGTGTTTTGTCATGTTAAATGCCCAGGTATAATGTTTGAAGCCTAGTTTAGCTCTACCCTGCCACGACAGGCTAAAAGTGGCATTAACAAATCACTTATTTTGTTCATAAGAATTTCTTTAGGATGTCAGTCCTGATTTAAAAAAAGTTAATTTGGCACCTGCTGATTGGGCTTGATTAAAAAACAAATGAAACATTGAACATACAGGCAAGTCTCTGTCACTACCAACTCCACAGAAAATGGGGATATTGTCATGCCATACCAAACTCAAAACTATTTTTGTACTTTATTCATTTAGTGTTTATTTTCCTGAGGCTGTCTACCAGATGAAATCATCACCATAAAAATGTTTGTTTTTTTAAAAAACATAACTGTACAAAATATCTCAGGTTTTACAGGCATAAAATCCTTCAAATCCTTTGTGTCCCCCTCAATTAAACACGCACGCATGCACGCACGCATGCACACACGCATGCACACACACATGCACACACGCACGCACATGCATGTATAATGCAATAGGAATGTGATGTTAAATCCCATTTCACCCCACCTGTGATTAAGGAAATGTTTTCTCGCACTGATTTTGACAATAAATGCCATATTTTGCCATTTTTTCCCCACATTGAATAGACCTGGGAGAAAAAGTCCAAATAATGTCAAATCTGTGAAGAAAAGACATTACCACACTTCTTGTGCCCTCTTGTACTCAAAACACAAAACAGCCTCATGTATCTGTCAACTTTAATATTTCTAAGATAATTACTTGTTTTCATTCTTGTGGCATCTAAAGTGAAACAATCTGACACTACAGGATCATATCTCACCACAGTTGTATTTGTATAATACTTTGATTTATAAACGTGGAACACTGTTCTCAGTTCCCTGAGAATATTCAATATTAATTATCCTGGCAATGCAGTACAAATCATTCCCCATACACAACCATCTCGACACTTAAGGAAGATCGTCAACATGTCTGTTTTTATTTGCTCCTACAATTTCAAAGAAATTAATTGCATTGCAACAAAATGTGTCGAATAAATGTCCCACATGAACGTCATACAATATCAATCAAGAAAAAATTAATTGCATTTCTAAATTTGTAAAAAACTTGATACTGAACTAGTGTGTAGCATGGCACACTCACACACACACACAGTAACACACACACAGTAACACACAGTAACACAGTAACACACTAACACACACTCTCTCTCTCTCTCTCTCACACACACACACACACACACACACACACACACACACACACACACACACACACACACACACACACACACACACACACACACACACACACACACTCACACACACACACACACACACACACACACACTCTCTCTCTCTCTCTCTCTCTCTCTAACACACACACACTAACACACACACACTTACACACACACTCTCTCTCTCTCTCTTTCAAACATTCATGCACACACAAATATTAATCAGCTCGACCTTTCAGAAAAAACATAAAAAGTTTTATTCAGAAATAAAACGAACAAATCCATACCAGGACAACAGTTACTAGTGAGCAGGCAGTGAACCCTTCCTTGTTCAACTTGTCTACAGTTATCACTTGTGGAGGGAAACACTCTCGATAAGACGGAACCAGAGTATTCACCAAGCTGCTGTGTATAAGAGTGAAAGGCCTTGCAATAGTGAGTGACAAAGTAGGCCACTAGTAAGTGTGCAGGAGCCAGTCATCTCCAGCAGCTGATTTATGTGACATTCATCCTCCCCCTCTCAGAATATTGGACATTTTTCTGAGAACTCTACTTTACAAGCAAATACACATCCACCTCTTGGACCAATAAATGACTGTGAAAATCTATCAGTGTTGACTTCCTCCACCATAGCTAAGACGTGCAGGATTCACGTTTTGATTGCTACCCAAATATACTACCGTTTTTGTAGTCAATGTGGCATAAACCCACGCCTGCTCCCTCCCTCCCTCCCTCACTCACTCACTCACTCACTCACTCACTCTATATTAACCACTCCCCGATCACCTCTTTATAACCAGTCCCTCATCAACTCCTTATAACCTCTCCCTGAGCATCTCTTTATAACAGTCACTGACCAACTTTTTATAACCCCTTCCCGATATCCTCTTTATAACCAGTCCCTCATCAACTATTTATAACCACTCCCAAGTCACCTCTTTATAACAGTCACTGATCAATTTTTTATAACCACTCCCCGATCACCTCTTTATAACCAGTTCCTCATCAACTATTTATAACCCCTCCCCGATCACCTCTTTATAACCAGTCCCTCATCAACTCCTTATAACCTTTCTCCCGAAACACGTCGCTATATAAGTGCAATAATCTTGGACGCGACGTTAAACCCAATTTCACCTCACCTTTCTCCCGATCACCTCTTTAGAACAGTCACTAATCAACTATTTATTACCACTCCCCGATCACCTCTTTATAACCAGTCCCTCATCAACTCCTTATAACCTTTCCCAGATCACTTCTTTATAACCAGTCCCTCATCAACTATTTGTAACCACTCCCAAATCACCTCTTTATAACCAGTCCCTTATCAACTCCTTATAACCTTTCCCAGACGACCTCTTTATAACCAGTCCCTCATCAACTATTTATAATCACTCCCAAATCACCTTTTCATAACCAGTCCTTCATCAACTCCTTATAACCACTCCCCAATCACCTCTTCATAACCAGTCCCTAATCAACTCCTTATAACCACTCCCTGATCACCTCTTTATAACAGTCACTAATCAACTATTTATAACCACTCCCAAATCACCTCTTTATAACCAGTCACTAATCAACTATTTATAACCACTCCCTGATCACCTCTTTATAACAGTCACTAATCAACTATTTATAACCACTCCCCGATCACCTCTTTATAACAGTCACTAATCAACTATTTATAACCACTCCCCGATCAACTCCTTATAACCTTTCCCTGATCACCTCTTTATAACAGTCACTAATCAACTATTTATAACCACTCCCCGATCAACTCCTTATAACCTTTCCCTGATCACTCTTTATAACAGTCACTAATCAACTAATTATAACACTCCCCGATCACCTCTTTATAACCAGTCCCTCATCAACTCCTTATAACCACTCCCTGATCACCTCTTTATAACAGTCACTTTTGTATTTATAACCAGTCCCTCATCAACACCTTATAACCTTTCCCTGATCACCTCTTTATAACAGTCACTAATCAACTATTTATAACCACTCCCAAATCACCTCTTTATAACCAGTCCCTCATCAACTCCTTATATCCACTCCCCAATCACCTCTTTATAACCACTCCCCAATCACCTCTATAACCCCTGCCTGATCACCTCTTTATAACAGTCACTCATCACCTCGCTCTATTTATAACTCCACCCCCATTCCTTATAACATTAAATACACCGAATGTCAGCCATGGTGACATAAGACCACTAGAATCATTGTATTAGATTGTTGACATAAGGTGTCTAACTCCCCATTTCAATGATTAGACACTGAGTGCTCCTGAACTAACCTACTTCATAATGAACTGGTTGTTTTGTCCACCAGATCTCGCTCACTGATCAGTGTGAAATGTCACAGTATTTCTTTCTATACAGCACATAACAGGAACTGAATTGATTCATTATCAAAAACTGCTTCGTAAACACTAATGATTTTGGGCAATCCAATATGACTGCATGAGATTGACCAATTTCTTTATTACATAAGGCCAAGAGATATGAAAAACATTGTCCACTTCCATTTTCATCTGCGCTTTGATCTGGATCAATAATCAGCCTGTAAAAGGGTACGGTGGACCAGACAGAGAGATATTGCTTTAATTGCACAGACTGGGGGAAAACGAGATCCATGTTTTACTTAGTTGCCCTTTG